TTCATTCAATATAATTTACATTTTTTTCAAATGGCCTCACAGGATTCCTTGCGATTTTTCGCACGTACAATTTCACAGCAGGGGAAAGGGGTAAAGAGAGAGAGAGGAAAAAAAAAAGCAAGATTCCCTTCCCTCCCTTCCCCCCTCTTCTTCTTCTTCTCTCTCCCTCTCTATTTTTTAAACCAAAAAAAAAAAAAAAAAAAAAAAAAAAAAAAAAAAAAAAAAAAACAGGAGAGACAGAACAGATGCTTAAAAATAGATTTCTAAAAATCACTGTAAACCAGAGTTAGAAATGTAATTAACACCTATTTATAAAGAATAATTAAAGTTGGGCCGGCCACAAAGAACAGCAAAGATAATCGAGGTCCTGTCCTCCCCCCCTTTTTTACACTGTTTGCAGTGTGTTCTCATGATAGCCACCTGCTCCCTACTCGGCTTTTCCTCTGTTCGTTTCCCCGGCAACCTTTCATTGGGTTTTCCTCCCAGCTATCGCTTTCAGTTGGGCTGCTCGGTCTAATCTTATTTGTTTTACACCCATCAAAACAAGCAGCCAGACAAAGGCAATCCTCTAAGAATGGGAAAAAGACCACAGCTTTGTTATAACATCTATGCAGAGCGAAAAGTCCTCCCCAGGCTTTTCTAGCAAAAAATAAGTGAGATAGATATGAATTTACAGCCTCCCCACATACCCGGCTTTGAAACCCTGTGAAAGCTATTGCTGGTGAAATTCAAAGTCAAAGTGGGCACTCGTGGCATTTGATTGTGCCATTTTGTGCCATATCTTCAGGGTCAACATCAGGCGACAGGAGCGGCACTCAAGGAGTTTCCCTGCTTCTTTTTTTCCCGAAAAAGATGATGCTAAAAATAGATTTACTACTTTGGCAGAATGGTTTTCCACTTCCCTTTCCACATCCAAAAGTCCTGCTTCACAATTGCATCTGCTGGTACTGAACCTCACCTCCTCCACCCCTCGTACCCAGCCTTCCCCATCACTCCTAGCAGGAGACTGAAAAAGAAATGTGCCTTTAACTTTAACAGTCATGTAATTCTGTTGAAAGCTCACAGAGGCGGTGGACACGCCAGCCAACAGCTACGGTGACATTGTGATTGTCAAAAAAGACACCAGCCTCGCTTGGCTAAATGTGTGTTCGATGGAAGAGGCAGTGTGTGTGCCTTGTGTGCATGCAGTGCCATTACACTTGGAGATGGATGCTGGGTTTCAGAAAAGAGAAATACTAATAAACACACACACAGACACACACACGATCTGCACAGTGATTTACGATGCACAGTCCATCATCCTTACACACACACACACACACACACACACACACACACACACACACACAAGGCTGGAATCTCCAAGCTGCCTTCCTCTGAATTTTCACTTACCATCTTCAAGCCATTCCACTCCATCTGTGATCAGAAGAAGATGGACCCTCACACAGTGTGTCAAAAGCGGAAAGGAACGTTATGTAAAAGCTGACATTCCTTCTTACAGAGCTGCTGCCCAGAGAAGGAAGCAACAACTCAACACGCCAGGCACCGCTACACATACAAGCCGCCTCCTCTTTTTTATGAGGTCATGACAGGAAACTCTTTGAAATACAAGATGCAGCATTTACTGAAGCCCAAATAAATCACTCTCTTTGCCGTTTTGACTGCGCAGTCCCCCGAAACACAACTGCCCATCTCAACGTTCAGTATCCAGGAACTGCCTCTCGAGCTTTAAATTTCCAGCACAGAAATGGAGATTCCTAACCCTGCTACATCCCCTCCAGCCCCACAAAACCCAGGCACATAGACAAACCCCCTCTCCCTCACAAAAAAACACAGAACAAAACCCCCTTTTTTTTTTTTTGCCAATATGGTCTCATGTAATATAATCTCTTTCAAAAAATCAGCAATTATTTCGGCCCACCTCCCCTCTACATCACCCCCCTCCTTTATGTTGAAGGGAAAATTGACAATGACCTGTTAAAAATGACAATCTATTTCCCCACTGCTTTTCAATAAAAGGACCTACCGGCACTCTCTACACAAAAGAGATAGTAAATGTAGGAACCAAACAGCAGCAGAGAACTAAACTCTTGTGCAAGCATAAGACTGGTCAAGGTGTAGATGTTTTTCTTCCCTCCAGCAACACAAACAACAGATTATAAATCTAGTCATACCTACCATAACCATTCTTATTGGCAAATATTGGGTCTCGCAGAGCTTCGACTCTTCTCTTAAAATTTGCAAAGGTTTCAGAATGTATTTTTTAAATGACTACTATTGTTATATATATTTAAAGATCCACAAAACACAGTGTGGATGATTGTAAAGTAAATCAATTATTTGGGGGGAGGGGATGGGGGGAGAGAAAGAAAAAAAAAAAAGAAAGAAAAGGAGCAGTGAGCTGAAACCCCCGATTCTAGGATGTAGATAAGAACAACTGAACAGAGCCTTGCTGAAATTGGCTCGAAGCTTCCCCTTTTTACATCCATTTATGGGACCATCTGTCAGCCGAAGCCAGGATCTGATTGGCTGGGGAAAGGAAGGGAGGCGTTGCAACATCAGGTGCTATTTAAATTAGCTACTGCCAGATTGACGATGTTAATGATTTGGTGACCTCTACAACAACAGAGACCAGATTTCTGAACTGCTTCTTGTGTCTGGTAATTAAGGCCAGGCAGAAGCAACAACAGCCATACTTGTATTTTTACCTTTTCTCTCCTCCCAGCTCAAAAGTACTGTAACAACTGCAGGTCACCCGCCGCTTGCAAACCTTAATAGTGGGAGTGTCCTCCCTTTCCCCTGTCCTGAGGGCTGCACCATCAAACCCCTTTGACAGAGGGCTTTTCCAGTATGGAATATTTTCAACCACCTTATCTTTCTGGACAGTTGCTTTCTAGCGAAATGCATATTTAATGATCTGCCTCTAGGCTTAAAGATACAACAAAAGCACTTTAATGTGCTAATACATCCACATTTTAACTTTATTATTTCCTAATATTGCTGATTTTCAGTAAGTAATGCTCCTTGTGCAGCTAACATGGCCAGGGTTTCAAGAGAAGGCAAGTTTGAGACTGTGCTTGTTCTGTGAACTGGGTTCATACAAGTTTGCTTCAGAAAACTACTTCCTAATAAAAAAAAGAAAAAAGCTGGGGGGGGGAGGGGAAAAGCTGTCAGCCTCTACCTTTCTGCCTTCTGTCTGAGCTTTTCAAAACAGAGAATGATGAATGATTTATTTAAATGAATAGATTTCTCAACTTGGATAGAGGCATGATCTGAATTTTTAAAAATCCACTAAAACACATCTTCTCTGCTTTCACTACTGCTATAGAGAATGGTAAAACATGCTTTTGACAACAGCATCATTTCATAACCGGTGCAGAGGGCTCATCTTGCTTAACTGAACACGTGATTTTGCTTCTCTCCTTCAAAAGATGTCTTTTATCTTTGGCCCCTTGAAAGACTTGCAAAGAGCTATTTAGCAAGTGTGTGGTGATGTATACAGTTTGTCTGCCCATGTTACACATGTCATAACCTCTGCGACACCAGTCTTCCAATAGGATAGTAATTTGTTCTGGTTTGGGTTTTAAAGTGGCTTACCTGAAGAGTTTCTGCTTTACTTCTATCCAAAAGGCTAAATTACTGCTATTTAATTCACAATTTAGTCAATTTGTTCCTCAATGAATACACAGAGGTAACAAGTATTACTAAGGAAATAATTCAACATTATTTTAAATCTTTGGCTGTAGTTGACAGCAAGATGGGACTGGGCAGAATAGAAATAGAGGCCGAAAATCATGCTACACTCTGGGCTTCAAAGTCCAAGAAAAGACGGGCCCATGAAAAATTGTTAGAAAAGAAAATGACCTTTATATTAAAAAAAATTAAAACTGTTTTTTTCCCAGCTACTATTTCATGAACACACACACACACACACACACACACACACACACACACACACAAATGTACATATTCACACTTTTAAAAATACAGATACACCACAAAACGGTATGTGCTGGGTACACTCTATGATACATTCAGCTGTTCGAAATAAAAATACATGAAAGAGAAAAGTAGGAATGTTAAAATGGTAACAATAGTTATGGTGAAACAATACTGGTCTAAGTAAACTTTTAAAATAATTTCTCCAGCAAATATACAGAGTCCTACAAGTCACAACAGTACTATAGTATCTGTTGAACTGTGTTCTAGGGACGAATTCATAGGTTAAGTGTTCTAAAGAGCTCAACATACAGACACAGGGAAGGTACAGGTGCCCCAAATCAACAACAGAAACTCTGAATGCAATCCTATCAATATCAAAATATTGTGAAAAGAAAACCATGAACACAATGCTGAAAAACACAAATGAAAACAGCTCCGCTCCAGAACAAAATCTTTACTTTGTATCTCTCTGGAGGTTATAAGAGTCAGAATGTCTTAAAAGCTTCTCTCCCTTCCTTACTAATCTCAGCACACTTAGGTATCAATCAACAGTAGGTATATCAAAAGATGTTCTGGCCACTTTTCTGAAACAGGAACTGTATATTACAGTATAAATAATTAGCTGGTTGTGCTAGGCTAAAAAAATCCATGCACTTTGTATATTGATTACTTCTCCAAAAAACCTCCACTCTAAAGTCTTTCAACGGAATCCTCAAACAAATGCACAAATGTCCTCAGAGGCCTTTTCTCTAAAGACAAAGGCAGAATCCTATTGTTGGGAAAAGTCAACCTTATTATTGCATTTCCAATAGTACCATTCATCTTTCAGAGTGAGGGGCTGACCGCTCCATCAGTGGTGTGACATTTGTAAAGCAACAGATTCTCAATATATTATCTCAAGAATCAGGCAGGCGAGTCTCCCAGTCATGCATGATTTTTTTTTCTGCCACAATCCTCCACCACCACAGAAAGAAACTTGTCTCACTCAGGCAGCTAAGGCAACCTAAAAATGATATCCCAGAGCTGTGGGGCTGCCAGTGCCGCTGTATCCCTCTTACCATAAATGAGCAGTTTCTTGACTCATTAATAACAATTTCCCTTAAAAGAAGTAATCTCATATCAGTCAGCCCCTTGCCACCATGCACACATCCCAAAGGTTGCAGATATGTCAGCATCAGTCGCCGGCAGCCAGCTTTCCCACACAGAGTCCAGATGGACTGTACCAGAAGCCAATTCAGCGTTAATAACTACCTACTCCGCGCAGTGGAGAAGCCTTACGTGGCACAATGGGCTAGGAAACAGCAGCCGGCTGAAACTGCAAATAAAAAAGACAAACCAAATTCTCCAAAAGCACCAAAAGGAAGGAACAGAAAGGGAAGCGTGAATTGTATTCCTTGACTTCCATGAGAAGAAAAAAGAAAGAGAAAAAGAAAAAAGAGGAAAAAAAAAAAAAGAAAAAAGAATCCTTCATAAACATAGGGGGAAAAAAATGAAGGGGGGGGGAGGGAAACAGATGCTGCCCAGAAAAAAAGTGACAAAATATTACCTCATTATTTAACAAAGCAGCATTAAGCGTCCTGCTGATTTCAAACATCTTGCCACAGATTTTGTTTTAAGAGAAACAGATAGAATCCTTTGCAAAGCACTCCGTCTGCAAAGGGTTCTTCAATTTTCTTGCGCGCCACGGAACAGTCAATATATTATTTCCCTAGAGTTCGCACATTAAAACCTCTAGTCAATGAGCTGAATTTTCCCCTTATCTCACACACAGTAGACTCCTGTTATATGTACTGCTCTCTTTGCAAGAGCAGCCTGCCCCAAACATGGCTGGTGTTTAAACTACTCTTTAAAGTAACAGTTCACTATATAACCACCAGGTGGGTAGAGTGCACAGATTCAAATGAACCATCTTAAAGGATCGTGGTGTTCCCCCCCACCCCTGCCCCCGCCTTTTAGGTGTACAGTGTGACATGATAGGCATCGTGTCTTGTATCTCTCTGTATCTTGTCAAAATAAACAAATAAAATTCCTTCTCCTGACTTATAGGGAGGAAACAAAACACCATCACCCATTCTAATAAGAACTGTGAAGAATGAAACACAAACATGCTTTGTTTCATTCAGCAAAGGATGAACAAGGAAAATGCAATCAACACAGAGCAGGGCCGTGGGGGAGGGACCAAAAACTCCCTGGAAATATTTTCCTTTAGCAAAAAGAGAAGAATATTGACTCACGTGATAAAAACCGATCAAAAGTGAGCATATGGATGAATCACATACAAGATGGAGGAGAGAGTTTAAGGGTTGTACAACTTTTCTTCTGAGTAAAGCATGAGGTTATTTGATAGGGTCTTTTATGATAGGAAATAACCAAAAGCTTAAACATAAAGACACTGGAAAAAAAAACAGAAACAAAATCTTAAGCATCTCTTTTAAAAATATAATTATACCAATAGCTATAAATGACCACAAGAGCAAATGAATCATATCTCTCCTCAGTCCTATTCTTTTTCCCTAAGATCCACCTCAACGTGGAACATTTCTGTCCTGTGTTATTTTGGATGTATAGCTAACTTGGTATCTCCTTTGTACAATTCTATTCCAATTAATTTGCTCCTCTGCCAGGAATAAATAGAATGTCCCAAGCTGAAAGCCCCAAGTGATGGAAGGTGGATGTTCAAAGATAAAGAATCACCTGGACATAAATAAATCTCATCCCTTATATTGTTATATGGCCTGATTTAAAGGAGGATATTATTAAAGAGCATGCATGCACTATTTTACGTTCTCTCGTATCTAAAAGAGAAACCAACACACACAGATACCTGGAATTTTGTTTTCTTGGCTGGACAAAATTAATGCCCTAGAATTTACACATCCTCTTGCAAACACAAATGTCGATACTAGTATTTTTCCAGCCCATCCAGGCAATATTTAGCCACATACAATAGTGACTGTCTCCTTCATGTTTAAGTCTAGGCTGCCTTGCTTAATACCATTTAACCTCCTCGCATATATTAAGTTTCAAGTGACAATTTTAAACTGGGGAATGAGAAGGAGTTGCTCTCATCAAATTCTGGTTGTATGAAATAAGCTAATTTGTACACTCACCATATGTCTTAAACACTAATTAAAAAATGTCACTTTCTTCAAACATTAAAATGTAATCAGCCTAGTAAATAAAATATTCCCGAGTTTTCTTGCCTTGGTGATAATTTAAAGAGTGTTTATCTCAAGGTAACCTCTCTATTTTGATTACCAGGAAAGGCTTTTGATTTGAAAAAAGAAAAAGGGAGATATTGGGGGCTTGGGGAGTGAGAAGAGTAAACCACAACTGTACGTAGTTACACAAAGGAAAATAAGATGAAGCAGGGTTTTAAGGACCATAGTCTTGTTACCCTAAGGCAAATCCAGCCAATCAATACCACCCATTGACGGTCTACCATCTGCCATGCTACCCAGCGATGTGGCTAAACAGACCTGTTCCATATGACCGTAGCCGGCTCATTTTCAGTCGATTAGGGCAGTTCCAGAGCATTCACGTGCAATAGCACAAAACTCCAAGTCTGACTGAGCCTCTCTCTTCACACCAGTCCCTCCCAGCACAGCTGCAGACTTTTTTCCTCCTGTTCTGGGTATCTGGATTATCTCTTCTTGCACCTCAATTGAATTAGCAAAATAGGGTGGGAAGGTAGAACAAACAGACAGACACACACACACACACACACATATAATTGCTGGCCCTTCTTCACTGTCATGCAGAAATCAGGAATTCCACGTGCTCTGTCCTAATATGATTATGGCACACCATTTAAATAGCATCATCAGTGACTATGACCTGACATTTTCCTGTAGTGCTTGCTATTTCTTGTTATCTTCTCCCTCTTCCCTTGAAAAATAGACCCAAAACTGTTGGCATTTCTTCCTTTAGAGAAAATACAATCAGTATGCCCAGACAACGGTATACTCTATTTAAAGGCTTTGGATAAAATTTAAAGCCTAATTTTCCTTTGATGAATTGTGGCACTGGTTTTGTCTTTCTTTTTCCTGTTAAACACATTAAATCAAATTTTATAGGAAAATGGAAACATACCATAGAGGCAAGAAAAATGCACCAGACTGACATGGAGTCTTGGAATTCACTGTCGATGTTCTCTTAGAGATACATGACCTGACCGTATGATGCTTTTCTCTTTCCTAAGTAGTTTTGTCTACTATGGATTGCAGGAAAGAGCTACAAGAATGCTACTGTTTAGGAAAATGTGACAAATGGATGTCTAGTCCACTTAAATTGCCTAGAGTTCACCTGTGCAGGTAAACCAACCTCTGGGTTGATTCACACTTGATCTTCCCATTTTCTTTCCATTCCTATGCCTTATGCTAGAAAAGCAGCTGAAAGCAGAAGATTTCTTTTCAGAATTAAGGTACGCTTTTTCAAAAGTGCCTTTGACCATTCCCTTAAAGCACTAGGATGTCTTTCTGGGAAAGAAAATTTAAAGGACAAGAAAACTGCCTTACTTACAAAATTCTGAAAAAGGTAAATACACATTTATAAAAAAAAAATCTAATTTAGGTGGAGTCCCTGTCTGGACTTTTCACTGTTATATTCTTCATCACAGCCTAAGAAAACTCAACAGGGTCAATGTGCAAACACACAGAGATTTCTGAAGATCCCTGCATTAAAGGATTTGGGGCCTTTCCATTTCAGCTCAGATGAGCTTCACTAAAAATAATAAAAAAAGAAACAAACAAAATACCCTCATGTAAATATAAATCTTTACAAATCAAAGGCCACTGAACAGATAAATATGGAATAGCCATACCATCAAAGGATTCAGTGTTTAACCAGATTAATACAGTTTAGAAAATAATTCAACACAAGAGTTTTTTCAAAAAAAATTCTGGACTCATAATTCTGCAACTACAAATAAAGAAAAAATGTATAGTATCGTAAAAAAGTATTGTAGAAGAAGGAGGAGGAGGAGAAGGAGAAGGAAGGGAAGATGAGAAGAGGAGAGGGAGGAGAAGAAGAAATAAAATAATAGGACTTATAAAGTACAAATAAAAACTGTTTTTTACCAGCAGTCTATTGTATACTGAACACTACACTAGGCACTTGATATGCACAATTTCACACAACATCATAGGAATCACAACGGTTATATCTAAGCATTCTTCTAGAAAGGTGTTTTCCTTATCTAAAAGTAAGACTTCCTCTCCATCACTTCATAGAAGAATATGCTTAATAAATATCTGTTGAATGAATGAGGAAGATGGATACAGACTAGAAGAGAAAGAAAAAGATGTAATTTTTTCTCATCTAAAAGTGACCAAGAGATTTCTTTGTGAAGTGCTTCTAACTAAACATGTCCTCAAAATGTATCTCATTTAGCCTGTCATCATGACCAGGCTATAAATCTGAAGTGAGTGAGACAAAGGATTAAAGCTGGAAAGCAAAAAATTTTAGCAGGTAGGATGAGTACCTGATTCAGACCTAATTCTCTACTTCTTCCAAATCTGGCAAAATTCCTTACATACAGTAGCTGCTTAGCAAACATCGGTTGGATGAACTCTGATGTCCTGAGCCCCTTACAGGACAGAGCCAGGCTCCAGGCAACACTCAATTATGAGGAAGAAATAAAGATCAACGATTCCATTCAACATCATCTCAAAAACTATCCCAAGGCCTATTTCATGTGATTCAACTAGGAGGCACTAAACACCATCTTAGGGAAAAAGATATGCTAGGCTGCCTAAGCCTCAGTTTCCTCACCTGTAAAATGGGCACAGTAATACTTCCCTGAAGGTTTGCTGCCAAGACTAAAACAGATAGGCTTGGTAGAGGCAGCACTCTATATGGTACTTGTTATTAATATGGAAAATAAGGAAAACTGTATGAATTAGTACCTAGCTATAAGATAATTCAATCTTGCTGAGGAAGATACAAAGACTCTCAAAAACATTTAGAGAATAATAAGACAATAATAACTAAGAAAGGCTGAATGGGCTGTTCCAGTTCTAACCAAAATGTCTGCTGCAGATTAGGACTTAGTCCAATAGGTAAAGTTCAGTGCTAAATTCTGAGTGTGAAGAATAAAAAGAAATACAAGTCATAATTCCCACCTTCAAGAAGCTTACAGTTTGGTTGGGAAAGAAACATTCATATTTATGCATGA